CATATTAGAGAAGACATTTGGCCTTTGGTTTTGTGGGACTGGCTTCTTTCGTTAGCATGATATTCTCCAACTCCAACCATTTAGTGGCAAATTCCATAATTTTACTCTTCTTTAAAGCTGAGCAATATTCCATTGAGTATATATACCACATTTTCTATATCCATTCATCTATTGAGGTTGGTTCCACAGTCTAGCTATTGTGAATTGAGCTGCTGTAAACTTTGATGTGGCTGTGTCCCTGTAGTATGTTGATTTTAAGTCTTTTAGGTATAAACCAAGGAATGGGATAGCTGGGTCAAATAGTGATTCCATTCCCAATTTTCTAAGGAATCTCATACTGCTCTCCATAGTGGTTGCACCAATTTGCAGTCCCACCAGCAATGAATGAGTGTGCCGTTTCCCCCACATCCTTGAAAACATTTACGATTGCCTGTATTCTTGATGATTGCCACTCTGAAAGGAGTGAGATGGATTCAAATTAAAAAGCTTTTTCTCAGCAAAGGAAACAATTCATAAAGTGAGGAGAGAACCCACAGGTTGAGAGAAAATTTTTTACCACATCCACCTCCAATAAAGCCTTAATCTCTAAGATATATAAAGAACTCAACATGCTTAACACCAGAAAACAAAATAACCCAATCAATAAATGGGCCAAGGAACTGAGTAGATACCTCACAGAAGAAGAAATACAATTGATCAAAAAATATGTGAAAAGTGTTCAAAGTCTCTAGCAATTAGAGAAATGCAAATCAAAACTACTCTAAGTTTTCATCTCACTCCTGTCAGATGGCAATTATCTTCCATTCTTAAGAGTCTCTTTAGAAATCCCATCACCTGCCTTTGGAGTGTCCTGAGCTCAGCCTCCCTGGGAAGCCTTGTTGATCTTCACGTCACCACCTCCTTCACTCCCTCTGCTGGCCCCTTGCCCTTTTTCTCCCTCCATCCAGCATCCATTTCAGTCTTTTCCCATTTTGAGATGTAGTCCTCTCCTCTTCCTCCCCTACACCCCTCCTTATATTTCTGTTCCCATTTCCCGTCTCTGCTGTCCTTACTGTTCAGAGCATCACTCTTGATTGTTCACATTGTAGGACCCAAGAAGCACCATAGAGAGGATCTGTCAGTTCCTGGGAAAGAAGTTAAATCCAGAAGAACTGGACTCAGTCCTCAAGAATTGCTCCTTCCAAGTCATGAAACAAAACAAGATGTCCAATCTTGAAATCTTGCCTGAAGAATTCTCTTCTAGGCATTTCAAAATTACAAGAAAAGGTAACTTCTCTGTTTTCAGAATGTGTGAGAATGCTTGGAGAGCATTCCGGGTTAACCACCCAACAATAAGAGTGACAGTGTTGAAAGGTATCAACTTGAATCATTCATAACCAAGAAAGCTTCTTGTGTGCCCTAATGGAAAAAAAATGCTTTCATGGGACTGGGATGGACTGCAGGTACCAGAGAAAGTTGATGCAGTCTTGGAATGAAGGGTGGGTTTTGGAGATGGTCGTGTCTAGGCTACTCCACTGGTGACTTACCATAGAGAACTGCCCTAAAGAGACAGATACACAAAGAAAGACCAAATTGGAGAAAKTAGGGAGTGGGTTATTTGCTATGAGACACTGTAAGTCCTCCTTTCTGTGAGGAGAGATGAATCGTAACTACACCCTTGGATTCAGGTGTATTGAAAATGTTCACTTCAAGTACACACCGAACCTGTTTTACCAAAATTCCTCTTAGTCACATCTTTCTTCAAAAGCTATTCAAAAGGTCAGGACTCCTGCCAACCAGTGCTTCTGGAGTACAGAGAGAGAAAACAGGACTGGGCTGGGGCTGGGGCTCAGAGGGAGAGCACCTGCCCAGCAGAAGGAATCACATGAAGATGGTTCAGATAATGAAGATATCAGTGAACATGGGAGGAAGGATGAATGGTTATAGGACAGCAGTTACATATTAGACATTCTGCTACTTTACATTCATATGAGTGAATTGTCCGAATGCATACATATATAAGCTTAACTATTATTCTATATTTAATACATAATTTAATTAATATTTTAACTAATTAGATTGGCCTACTATGTGAAAATTGATTTATTATCCACAATACTATAACCACATAGGTAAAGTGTAATACTTATGTCTATATCTTTAGCTTCTTTTTTCTCTGCCACTTTCTCACGGAGTAACGCCTCCAGGGCTTTTTAAAAATCCTTGCCTATAAAATGGGATATTATGCTAGTATATTACTAATTCTTTGTTAAACCTTTCAGCAATTATTTATTGAGCATATATGATGTGATTCTTTAAAGCTCTAAATCTTAGGCGATTTACAAAGTTTTGATTTTTTAATGTTAGAATGTTATGCACATTCAAAAAGGAAGTACACAGAACATCTCATGTTTGATCATTACTATGAAGTGAACAAAGATGGACATGTATGGTTCTGAACTGTGAGCCCCACTGAGTCACTGCATTGGACAGCACTCTGGGGTAAGGAGCAGGAAAGGTAAATACCCTGAAGAGGGGGCAGCCTGGAAAGTCTGAAGCTGAATCAGAAGACTGTGTCATGGAGCCAAGAGAGCAAATGGGCAGTCCCAGGGATGGAGTCAACCAACAAGGACCCTACACCTAGAGCCTCAAAGCACCAGGGAACTTGGCTGAAGGAGACTGGACGTCCTGGGAGACTATGAGCCCCAAGGGACTGGAGCCACTAGATGTGGAAAGGTGTCAACATGGTGCCATGTGCAGAAGAACTTCTCACAGAGAATGGCCAAAAGCAGAGGGACTAGTTTGACCTGCTCTGATCACCCAAGTCATAAATTGTTAGATTGAGCCACAGTTCTCAAGAAAGAAGTGGTCAGAATTAATTTTGATCCAGATCTTCTGATTTATACCCAGCATTGCTGCTTATAGATTCTGTACAGGTTGCTTTGAAAAGGGAGGGAAGTCAGGACACACTTTCCCAGCAGGTAGACTTGTAAATAGTCATGGTGTCCAGGCAGGAGAAGGCCTCACCAATGACACAGGGGTCACTCTGCTGTCTTGACAGAACAAGGAGGAGGTAGCCGTCTTAAGACCTATCTGATCTGTGTCTACTTCATGTTTTCCAGGCATCTGTGGGGACTGGAAGAATCACCTCACAGTGGCCCAAGCTGAAGCCTTTGATAAAGTTTACCAGGAGAAGATGGCGGGTTTCCCCAAAAAGCTGTTCCCATGGGAGTAACATCTAAAAATTCTGGATATGGTCATTGTTTTTAATGTCATGGAATGTGTACACAACTGAGGCATTCTTAGCATAAAATCCATTTCTACAGAAAAGAGGATGTGAATGAAAATAACATAAAGAGCCAATGAAATATAAATTATCAGATGAACAAAAGGAAATCTAGTTGAGTAGAGAACAGAAAATGGGAGAGGAGAGGGGTAACACAGGGAAAGGGGGATCATGAACTAAAGTTGATTTCCATGCATTGATGAGTTTTTCTGGATGAACCCAATCACTATGATAACTATAAAACTCTGAGAAAAGATTAAAAACCGGTTTCTTCATTCTGGGATTTGAAATATACATTTTGCTTCTCTTATCACTTGCTTGTTAAAAATTACTGGGATTCCCCTATTCACTTCATCATATCCTAGCTTTAATAAAATCTTTGTAATACTTCAAGCCAGGTACGGTGATGCATGCCTGTAATTCCAGCAGCGTTGGAGGCAGTGAAAGAAGGATTACAAATTCGAAGCCAGCCCCAGCAACGACAAGGCTCTAAAGCAATTCAGTGAGATTCTGTATCTAAGTAAAATACAAAATAGGGCTAAGGATGTGGCTCAGTGGTTGAGTGCCCCTGAATTCAATTCCCCGGGACCCAAAGAAAAAATCTTTGCAATATTTTAAAAAGATAGAAACCTACGAACATAATATGAATATCACCCACAATTGTGTCTAGTATTTAAATCAAGAAATATAATTTGCAAGCCATTAATGTTCCTTTTCTATTACATGTATCTGTAGAATTTATGATGATGATGATCTGCAGGAGTATGATTTCCAACCCAGTGTTATTTTCATTCCCAATACTGTGTAAAGCATAACTAACAAGTGATATGGATAGAACTTTTAAACCTCACATGAATGGTGGATGGTATGATATGTTTATAGACTCTCATTTCTACCCAGCATTTAACATATGGTTTTGTCTGAGCTGACATGTACAAAGTAGTTCAGAGTTGAATTGAGACTTGGAACACAGTTGAGTTACCTGTTTTCTTGTAGATGACTCTGGGTTTCCCCCTCACCAATTTTCCCATATTTAAATCACTATTTGGCAAGAATGACAAAAACAAAGGTAAGAGTTTTCCGAGGTCATACTTGACTGAAGTTGACTGTTCTCTCATTGGCCTGTTGTAGGTATTACTAAATGTTCCCCCAATAACCTTGTAATGAAGTTAAAATCTAAATAAACTCCTCTATCTCTACCTCTGCCTACTTTTATTTGACTTAAAATTTATGAATTTTGGAGAACAAGCAGTTGTGCTATATAGTATTAGTGTCTTTCTCTACCTTGCTGTAGAAAACACCTCTTACACGAGGATATGATGATAAAAGTCACTTAGGATTCTTTAAAGGGTTTTGAAGACCATTTTGGTAAAAGCCCTGACTGACTGTTCCCTCGATCCTGCAGATGTCCAATGGGAACTAAAAAACAGAACTCAGAAGTTTGCCTTCTTGTTGTTTCTCTCTTCTTTGCCTCCCTAAAACTTTGGATCATAGTATCTGTAGATTTCTTTTGATACTATGGCCATTTCATGACATTATGACAAATTCTGCTTGCCTGTGAACATTGGATTCTTTTCTTTTTGGAACTGTGAAGACCAAGGGGAATCAAGTTCAGCAGCATCCATCACACCATTCTCAGAGACTACCCCAGGGAAGACTCCATCTTGGCACAGAACCCTGCTTTTAACCCAGTTCCTACCATCCTTGCAGTTGGTTCTGAAACTGTGGTTCTGAAAAAATACTTTTTTGCAGATGGTCAAGTGCTCTCGTACACAAGGACTATTAAGTTGAACAACAAAGGAATCATGGGTTCTCTCTGGTGTCCACCCAGCACACACAGAGGGTAGGGTGTCCTCGATCCCACTCACAGTGTCTTGGACCTGCCCTCAGGGTACAGCATAGGCAAATCTCTAGAACCCATGTTCACATATTTATCACAGCTTCATAGATATTCAGGGATATAACTGCCCATTGTCCTTAGGAGATGTTGTGTCTAGAATTAAAAACATTAAGAGTAGTCACCAAAAAGCAGAAAATAAACAAATCAAATCAAAGATGGACTAGCTTAATAAGTAACAAGAGTTCCACTACCTGCCACACATACAGACTTCTGTTCCCTCTGATATGTGTATCCTGGATTTGACGTGATGGTGTCAAATTAACTCAAAGAAGAAAAATGTAGGGTATCCATTGGGCTCTTGATTTCTTTAGAACAAATATTTTTAGCTCAGAAATCAAAAGAACTCTGCAAAGTTGCTCAGTTAGCTAATGAAAGGAACTGAGTAAGTTCTATCTTTCCCTTTATTCTGACTCAAGGAGACTGATTTGATCCTAAACAGACTCTAAGCCAATATTTTCAAATGGATGAAGGCATGCTCCCTGTGGCTCTGAAGAAGAAACTTCCTAGGAAAACAGTCTGTGAGAGCTTGCTAACCATGGTGTGCTGAAGGATGTGAGGAACTGGACTTGGGATGTCTGTGTGGATTCTGCACCCCCCACCTCTGTAACACCCACTTAGACTTGACAAGTGATTTTGTCATTCTGAGCCTCGATTTCCCCAGAGGAACTGGGAGTGCAATTCACATGGGAGGATATCATGCTGAGATTTTTAGGAGCACATGTATGCAAAGCATGGATGCCACCCCTAGGGCTCACGCATGACTGACAGGCATCTCCCTTTCACTGAGATCCTGGAGGTTTGGTGAAGACCATCAGTTCAGCAAAATGGTAAGAGCCTGTGGGATGGAAGTCTTGGTTCTCTGGGCTTCTTGCCTTTGTCAAAGTTCTCCACTTCTGTTCCACACATGGTGGGATATGGGGCAAAACTGAAATAACCAGATAGAACATGGAAGCAATGTTCCCTTCTGCAGCAAGATGGTTGGGAGAAAATGGAATTAGGGTATTCTCAAATTCATAATGTGGGAACCCTTTGGACTGATGGAGGGGAAAGTTTGAAGCATGCATTATCTTGTAATAACTTAGATCAGGGCTCAGCAAAGGCTAGGACGGGCCTGGTCTTAAACATTTCAGGCTCACTCGCCATGTGGTCTCTGATGCAAATATTCAACTTTGCCGTTGTGGATCCAAATCAACCACCAATAACACAAGAATGAATGATGTGGCTGAGTTCTGATACAATTATATTCATGTGCCCTGAAATTTGATTCTCATATAACTTTCAGAGGCCACAAAATGTTAGTCACCTATTGATTATTTTTCAAGGGGGGGAGTCAAACTTTTAAAATAAGAAAACCATTAGCTCATGGGTCTTAAAGAGACAGGTAGAAGGTTGGGTTTGGACTCTGTGCACTTTCAGACTGGTGCCTGGCTTGGATTATCTGTCCTTGACCACAGGCTAATGATTAAATAAAGTTAATGCTATGGAAAAGATAAGAAAGAAAGGTGGAGACCATGCCTTGGGACCATGACTTACCTAGAAGTTTCTGTCTGACCCTGCCACAGAGCAAACACAACAGTAAAGGGGATCACAAGAACTTACTGGTTGCCCAATACATAAAAAAAATTAAGTAGACTACATGTTCTACTAAGCGTGCAACAGAATTTTGTCTAAAAGATGTACAAATCTTAACTAAAATGTACTTTATTGCAAAAAAAAATGCTAACATTCATTTGGGCTATTGGGTACCCGGCACTCACAAACTTGCTCAACCTGGGGGCACCACAAAACTCCAATTTGTAAAAAGTATAAAATCTGACCTCAATAAAGCAAAATGCACTAAAACAAATGACGCCTATAAATATAAATACAGAGGGTTTCAGTGGGTGCTCAATTTGCACTGGACACCATGCCATGTACTTCACACTCAGCATCTCGCAATGACTGAGGATGTGGCACTAGGCAACATTAAGCTATTAAGTAACAAGGGAAATGAGGCTTAGGAAGTTTGGGTCATAGCCGAACCTGGGGGTCACAGCTCATCACCTCAGCGAGGCGTCATCAGAAGCCACTCAGCAACAGGCAGCATCCAACGCGCCCCTCCTCGAGGGTCTCATGGACATCCCCTCCGCCCTCTCTGCCCATGGAAATGCCAATCCTAGGACCCGAGACAGACGCAGAGCCTGAGCACCTTAGCCTGTCAGAGCTCAGAGATGAGGCCCTCACCTAACACAGGCTTTGTGTGGCCGAGTCAGTCTTCCCCGCCACCTCCCGGCTCTGTGCACACGGGAAACTCCTGCTGCCACTCTTTGGAAAGGTCCCTGCAGTCGTCATCACAACACTGGTGAAGACACGAGGGGGCCTGTGGGGTGGTCATTCCACTCTAGGCTCAGTCACAGCCCTGCACTCACGGGGACTCTGGGGAGTGATGTGGCCACCCTTCCTGTTGGGTCTCCAGGGACGTCCCAGGGCTCCCTGGGACACAGCCTCAGTGCTTGTGCTGCTTGTACATGCAGAGGGTCCCTGTTCCTCAAACTGGCTTCCTGGGGACTTAACTCCTGGGCTCCAGCCAGTGCTAGTTCTTCCTGGGCTGCTCGGAAACTTGGCTTCTGGGAGAGACGCCCAAGGCCCTCTGGTTGTCACACTCAGCCTCAGGCCCCTCATCYATCAGGTGCTTATTCCTGGAAATAGGAGTCAGTGGTGCTGAGCAGAAGCCACCAGTCCCATTAGACTGCTGTTTGCTGGGGGCTTCTCCTGTCACTGAAGCACTGCATGAGCCAGTGCCGGCCCTGCCCCAGGACCCATCCCAGTGCCACTCCAGAGAGAATTTTAACAGAACAACACCTGAGAGGGGGCCTGTCTGTCCCCCACCAGTGATGGGGTCCCTGTTGCCATCACAGGGTCAGATGATCCAGCTCCTGGTACTAAACATATGGATGGATTCTTGAAGGCCTGTGGGTCATGTCTACTTTCTTTCCTGGGTCCCTCCTTTCTTTCTGACTGCCTCAATCCAAAAATCTTTGAAAATGCTAATGAAAATAATTAGCTGTGC